TATGCAAAATCCCTAAATTTCCTGGATTTTGTACTTAATTCCAGGCTTTTTAGCACAGAAAATGAAATTCTGAATCCCTGGGCTTGTTTTTGCCTGAAAATTCCTCTCTTCCCTCATTTTACTTTTTCTCCAATAACCTCTCACTGGAGATTTATTATTTTTAACAAAAAAAAAAACCATTTTGAAATATTTTTTTAATCCAAAAGCCTTTAGAATCATCTTTATTTTCATGAATGCCTCTGTAATTTTCATGGAAAAAAATCCCCTTTTTCCTCACTTTCTACAAAAAAAATAATAAAAAAGCTCTTTATCCTGGTTATTTTGGTTTACTTTTTAGGGTTTTTTTTTGTTTGTTTGTTTGTTTTTGGGGTTGGTTTTTTGGGAGTTTTTTTGTGGGTTTTTTTTTTTTGGTTGGTTGGTTGGTTGGTTGGTTGGGGGTTTTTTTTTGGTTGGTTGGGGTTTTGTGTCTTGTGGTTTTGGGGGTTTTTTTTTGGTTTTCTGGGGTTTTGATTTTTTTTGGGGGGGGTGGTTTTTTTTGGTGCGTGTGTTTTGGGTTTTTTTTTTTTTTTAGCTAAAATTCTAATGATCAGTTTTATTGTTTTTCCAGGACAAAACCCTAAGATCTATATGCTGTAACTGTATTTTCTTCCAGGGAAAAAAAGATCTATTTTTAAAAGGTGTTTTTCATGAAAAAAGTCCTTTTATTTGCTCTTTTTAAATAAAAGAAGTTGGTTCTTAAGGAAAAAGACCAACTTTTATTCCTTATTTTCCTGGCTTTTTTCTAATTTTCATTAAAACCTTTTATCAACCCAATGTTTAGATAGTGTTTTAAAGAAAAAAAACCTTTTCACTCCCTTAGTATTTTCTTGTTTATTCTTTTTTTTTGTTTGTTTAATTTTATTTTAAAAGTTTATTCATTTCTGACAGGTAATTAACAGGGGATGAACAACACATAATTAACAGGAGATGAACAACAAGTAATTGATTATCAACAAGGTAACAATAAAGACTGGTAACAGTGGGTTTAACTTTATCAACTCTGTAACTTATAATAAATGGGCAATTTCTTTTTCCTAACATTTATAATTCACCCTTGGTTCCTTAAGATTCCATTGCATCACAGTGGTCTCCTTGGTACCTTGAGGCCCAGATGTGCCATAATGCAGCCTTCATTCTGTGGAATTCCATTATGTCAGATTGGTCTCCGGGATTCCATGAGACCCAGCTGTGTTTGCAACTGACACTTGGTTCTCCAGGATTCCATGGTGTCACTGTGCTCTCCTGTTGTTCATGAGACTGTGCTGTGTCACAATGGACACTGAGTTCTGCCTGCCCTGGCAATATCCAAGTGGCATCTGGCTTCCATGAGGCTCCGTTGTGCTTGCAGTTGACACTTGGTTCCCAGAGCGTGCATTGCTTCTCAGTGGTCTCCTGGTGCCATGAGGCCCTCCTGTGCCTTAATGAACACCTGCTCCCATCAGATTCCTTTGTGACACAGTGGTCTGCTGAGTTACATGAGGATAAACTTTGTCACTGATGCCAAGATGACTTTTTGCTTATTCTTTTCTGTACCATTATTATGGCTTTTATGTATCCTCGGCATTCTTAGCATGCATACATACAAATAAAAAGGAGCAAGTATGCCTGCTTAGAATACTGAAGATAGTATTCAAAGTTATAGAAATGGCAAAAAATCATCTTGACACAACGCAGCGTGATGGAACTCAGCAGGCCATTGCGACAACCTGGAATCTTATGGATCCAAGGTTTTACTTTGACAAAGTGGGGCCCCATGGGACACAGGTGCCACTGGAACGTTGCCAGGCCTAGTAGAAACAAGGCTCCATTATTGCACAGCAAGGCCTTATGGCATCTGGGGGCCATTGTGTTACAATGGAATCGGATGGAAGCAAGTGTCCATTGTGACACAGGAGGGTCTCATGGCACCCAGGATGTAGCAGTCTGAATTGCTGCTAGCATAGTCCAGGGTAAGGAAGCAAAAAGAACCTTTGCATAATATCCACAGATGTTTTATTCAGCCACAGGGTGAGATGTTCAGGTCTTAGCGCCTACACACACAGAGAGTCTGGCTTTCCCACAACGGGGGCCTGAGGGCTGACCCTGGTCTCGGGGTAGTACAAAGATGTACAGATATACAGGAGACCATTGTCATGCAATGCAAGCTCTGGGAATCAAGTGTCAACTGCAAACACAACAGGGCCTCCTTGAAATCAGGTGATACTGGGATATTGCAGGGAGAGGAAAAAATCAGTGTCCATTATGAATTCAGTGTCCATTGTGACACAGTGCAGCTCATGGAAACCTGGGGACTATTGTGATGCAATGGAATCTCGTGGAACCAAATGTCAGTTGTGAACATGTGGCCTCATGGAACCCAGGGGCAACTGGGACCGAGCTATGGTTTGTGGAAGCAAGGGGCCATTGTGACACAGCATGGCCACTTGGAACCCAGGAGAATATTTTGGGCCAATGGAATCCCATGGAACCAAGTGTCATTCATCAAAACAGCGGGGCCTTATAGAACCCAAGTGACCATTGCGATTTCATGGGTTCTCATGGAAAAAATTGTCTCTTATAAGATAGCAGAGCGTTGTGGAACACAGGTGCCCCGTGGACATTGCCACTGTGCATGGAAGCAAATGTCCATTATGACACAGCCAGGCCTGATGGAACACAGGAGACCATTGTGACACAAGGGAATCTCAAGAAACCAAGGCTCTCTTGTGACATAGAGGGCCATCATGGAACCAAGATAACCATTGGGAGGAAATGGAATCTCATGGAAAAAAGAGTAAGTTGTCAAACAGCAGGGCTTCATGGATCCCAGGTGCCAATGGGACGTTTCCAAGGTTTGTGCGAGCAAGTGTCCCTTGTGACACAGCAGGGCCTCATGGCACCCAGGACAGCACCATGATGCCATGCAATCTTAGGGAACTGGGTCTTAACTGCAAACACAACAGGGCCTCATGGAACACGTGTCCTTTGGATATTGCCTGGGCAGGTGGAACTCAATGTCCATTGTCTCAATGGAATCTGATGGAAGCAAGTGTCCATTGTGACATAGCAGGGCCTCATGGGAACCCAGGAGACCTCTGCGATGCAATGCAATCACCAGGAACCAAATGCCAACTGCTAACACAACAGGGCCTCCTTGAAGCCAGGTCCTACGTGGATATTGCCCTGGCAAGCTGAACTCAGTGTCCATTGTGGCATAGCACAGGCTTATGAACAACAGGAGAGCAAAGTGACACCATGGAATCTTGGGGAACTAAGATGGTCTCAACACAAATCTTCCTAAGGGTGACTCTTGCAAAAAACAAAGACTGTCTTTTGTCTTCAATGTCCTGGATTATTTAGCTTTGGAAAATCAACTCATTTACAAATGTAACTGCAGGGGTGAGACACCATTCTTGTCATTAACCTTTATATGTGTATAACCTTTAGTGGGGATCCATCTTTGTGACACACATCACATTTTATAAAAAAAGAGGCATTGTTGAATTGCTTCAGTGAAGAAAGCTTGAATGTACTCTGAATATGTGACAGCTATAGCTGGTCTGTAGCTGCACAAATGATTTGGCACAACAGACACCAACTCGACCAGCCTAGTTCAGTAGAGAACAAGTAGTAAGCAAGTCCACGACTGTGTTACTGATAGGCTGAGTTCAAGCTCAAATAAGGGGACCCCAGCCAATCCCTGTGAACCGGGAATGCACCTATATCATTGGCCAGGGAGCTGGGCAGAGTTGAAACCTTTGTCCAATCTGTCCAACTCTGTATGAGTGGGAAATCTGAAGACCTTATAAAAAGGGCTGCCCTTCAGTAAACACTGACTGTTGATTCATGAACATGGGGTGTCATGTTGCTTGTCTGTCTCCAAAACTGCGCCCATTGGTGACCGCAATGTAATCACAACAGCTGCTGCGTATAGAGCGCGGAAAGAGATGGGGCAGCCAGAAGAGCTGCCCACAGTCTTTGAGCTGTGAGGAGCAGTGTCCACAGAGCTGCGGGGCAACCAGGAGGAGTTGCTCGCAGCCTTTGAGCAGAGAAGAGTGGCGTCCAGCACTGCGGGGTAGCCAAGAGGAGCTGCCTGCAGTCTTTGAGCTGTGAAGAGCACTGTCCAGTGCCATGGGGCAACCAGGAAGAATTGCCAGCAGCCTTCGAGCTGCGAAGAAAGGCATAGAGAGCCGTGATAGGTCCAAACCTTCCCCCTTTTTGTGGATTAGAGACACCGCAGGGAACACGGGTGCGTGGGTTTCACTACAGGAAGACCCTGTCCTAAAGGTATGGACTTTTAAAGAAAAGAGGGGCAAAATATGATGAGCTGGCTCCATTAGCCCTACTGGTGTGGTGTAAGAGCCACAGCCTAGATAAGACTGAAGAAGCCTCCCTAGGCTTAACTTAGGAACAGGCTACCCAGTTTATACTTGAAGTTGCCTCCATGGGCGACGAGACCATCCTAATGTTATAAAGCCCTGGAGGCTTGTTGTCAACTTGTTAAATCAATTAGAGCGGGACGTGATGACGGCGGAGGGGACACAGCATGTACCACCTGTCGAGGCGACGGGAAGTGTGGGGACACCGTGCCGGGTGCAGGGGGAAGGAAGACGGGTGGAGCAGCCACAGCACACCACGAAACCACGCATGGAGCTGGGAAGCCTCCCCCGGCAGGGGCAACCTGCCCACAGAGCCTGCTGCTGTTGCCGTCCAGGACTACGCTGCCACCCCCTGCAGGGTTGTCTCCTCAGCAGAATGTCCCCCGGTCTTCCTGAGCCGTGCCACTGCCCCGGGCGGGGGCGGTGTGCCGGCGGGGCGCCCCGCTGCTGTGTGGAGCTACGGAGATAGCCCCTGCCAGTGCGCGTTGTCAAAGAGCACACTGCCGCCAGTCCAGAGGGTGCAGAGACGCCGTGCTGTAGAGCCTCACTATGAAATAAACGGGGCAGGAGATCTTTCTCCTTTTTAATGCCTTTATTAAAAAGAATCAGCTCAGGTGGGGAGAAATCGACGGGTCACGTTGCCACTGCTCCCAGGCGTGGCACGGAGGAAGAGGGTGATGCAGCTGTGTCTGCTGGTCTGCAGGCAGAGCTGGGGATTCCGTCCTCACGGGAAAGTAGGAAATTCCACTTTTTCAGTCTAACATTTCAGGTCCTCTTTCTAGTTAAGACCTTTTAAGGTTAGGGTGAGAAGTAAAAGGATCGTAGCAGATATTGGATTAAGTTCCTCATCCTTAGATGTCACTTAGGTCTCTTAGTTCCGTGTTGGCTCGTTATTTTTAGTGGTTTTTTTCCAGAACGTTGCAAAATCTGGTGAAATGCATTCTCATCTGCATACTAGCTCAGAGGTCACTCCACCCCTGCTACCTGCAGGTTCGAGTGTCATCCCTGGCAAGCATCAGGCGGGGACAATAGCTAATCACCAACCATTAATAGGTAATTGAAGAAGAACTCTTAACAATAGGTGGCTGCAACATGCAGATAACCTTCAATTTAACAGTAATTGATTCAACTTGTTTAACTTTGCAACCTTAAAAAAATTGATAACTTTTTATTCATAACACCCCTGTGCCTGGTTGGTGGTCCCTGTGTTTCCCCCCCCTCCCCCTCTCCCCTGGGTAAAAGGATGGGCACACCACGCCCTGGGGGAGGCCTCATGGAGCTGTTACTGTGGCTGAGAAAAAAACCCTCTGGATTAAACCCTCCATGAAGACCGACTCCGTCTTCTCCACCGCCTTAAAAGGTTTCTCCAGCACAGGGAGGCCTGAGGAGTGACCCTCTTTTGCCAACAAACTCCAGCCCATTAGCATTGGAGTTCGGGCATGCCTGGGCTTGTCCCCACGTGCCCAGCTGCAACCCACCAGTAGTGTCTCTGGGGAGAAAAGACCACAGGTGCTGCTATTTGGTTGAGCAGCAGGGACCAGACAAGACTAGGCACGTCCCATTCGGTAAAAAATTTTTACCCACACTGGTAAAAAACAATACTAAAGCATTCTCTTCAGAACATGGAGCTTCCCTCGTGTGTTTCATTTCTTTATCCCAAATATTTTCCCCAATGATCCACAATCTAGAAAGAAAAAAAAGGAAAAAGAATGAAGACTAGTTCATTCTGATATAAGGAGTGTTGGTCATCCCAACCCACCTCCAGAAATGATTTTTCCAGGTGAAAAAGCATTTCTGCCACTCTAACAAATCTACTTGATACTGTCTCAACTCAATAGTAACTATTTAAATATTGTATTAAGAATCATAAGGACACAACTCTTGGAATTCTCAAGAATGCCTCAGCTTGGCTGCTTCAAGGACTTTCCCATCCAGGGAATAGAGCAGTCCCAGATTTAAACACGTATTTGATACAAATCTGATAGAAATTTGATATTGTTTGGCTACTAAGCTTTTCTAAAAGCTATGAAGTTAAGGCTGGAAATCCTCACTGAGGCTTTTACATGTCCCATCTGGATCTATCCTTGGGAAAACCCCACTCCAAGGACATTGCTTTAAAGAGGTTGCACTTGATGTTACAGACACAGAATTCCTTTGGGATTTGGTGTTTCCTGCATCTCCAAACACATTAAAAGAAGCAAGTGCAGAATCCTGAGTCTCAATTATTCCTACTTTCCGCAGCTCCACATGGATTTGTGCCTCCTCTGAAGGTCTGGACAGGAATCTGAGGATCCGCTTTAGTTGGTTTGGTTTCCAGCTCTTTCTCTGAGGTGGCCCAAAAGGCAAACAGAAAAAAAAAAAGCCCATAACAGCACAAAATCCCAGCCCATCCCAAGATGCAGCTCCTCACACCAAACCTTGGGAGAATCCATGGTGGTTCCATCACTGCTCTAATCCCACCTCGAACTGAGCTTCCAGGGGGCCTCTGCCTAATTCACATCCAAGCCTTGATAGCCAAAAGCTCACAGGAAAAGGGGAGGCAAAGTGAAGAGGAGAGGGGAAATCACAGGGTTTTGGGTTTTCCCTCTGTGTGCAACAGAATTGAAGGGCAGGATGGAGAGGTTCCATGGTGTTTCAGGTTGGAAAATGTAGCTGGGGGTGTGTATTCTATGGCCATTTGCTAGAGGTGGGGCAGTTATCTCCTGTTAATTGTGCAGTTTTCTTTATCTCTTCCACAACCAATCCTCCCTTCAGGAGATACCTTCTGTTAAAGGGCCAGTGACCGTCACTGCACGGCTGATAAAAGTACATCAGCCCGTTGTGAGAAGCTCCACTGAAGGAGGAGCCAAGCATTCCTTCCTGGATATAATCTGAGATTTGGAACACCACAGTTGGGCTTTTCCCACTGGATTCTCAGAGGAAGACCAGACCAATCTACACCACTACTGGATCTTCAGAGGAAAACTACCCCCTTCTTACAGGATCACTACTTCAACAAAACCACACCTGCCACTCCAGGAGGACTGCAGCCACAATTCCTATTGGACTGCTACTACCACCCTGACCAACAGGGTGTCAGGTCATATTCTGACTCTGTCAGTGTTGTTTTGTATTACTGCATTGTTTATTTTATTTTCTTCCCTAATAAAGGACTATTATTCCTACTCCCATCTCTTTGCCTGAGAGCCCCCCTTAATTTATAACAGTTCAGAGGGAGGGGGCTTACATTTTCCATTTCAGGGGAGTCTCCTGCCTTCCTTAGCAGACACCCGTCTTTTCAAACCAAGACAGATGGGAAAAATGTCCCAAAGGGTGCTTAATTCCAAACAGTTAGTGCTGCTAAGGATTAATCCAAGAGGACAAATCCACTGGGATCAAACAGGAGTGGTGGACATGATGGGTTATGACAAAGACCTACAAAGCTAGAGCCCTCTTTCTTCTCCAAGGCTCTCCCAGAAATTCTCCATGTCTGGACGTACTCCCAGTCTCCCTCCTGGGAAGAATGGACTTGGATATCCCAGGTGACTGCTGAGGCTCAAACAATAAAGTTATGCAATGATCAAAGTGGTTTTCCCAAGGAAATGACATATTGTCTGAAAACTGGGATAACCTATCCCAAGCCTTTCTCCAGGAAGTCACAGTTGGATATGGTCTCCCATTAAGGATGCCATAGAGGCTCACCTTTTGCTTGGAGCTTGGCTAAATTCCTCAGCAATGCCAGGATGTGGCCATTTGAAGGTTTTGGCAGATCTGGCTTATTTGCAGGCTGTTTCCCTCTCTCAGCCTTCCCACTGGATTGTGGTCTCTAAGGAATTTGTAAATCCCATTTGACTCCTATTCTTTTGGGTGATTTTTGCACCATTCCTGTACAAAAGGAGGCCCTCTATTAGGATGATTGTCCCTACCATTCCCCAGCAGTTTTATCTGCCAGTCCATTCCTCGTGTCAGTTGGGTTCTTCTGAGATTTCTGAGCTTCACAGGGCAGGAGACTGACTTGGCTTGGGAACTAAACACTCCTGAGGAATGGTCTGATAACATCACCATGTTTGACAGCTGATCCTTGTGCTGAAAGGATCACTCTTTCTTCCCTTCAGGCAATTCCAAGGCTCGCTGCTCCCACCTGGGAACAGTCCCTAGTTTGGACTTTCTTGTGGAGTATCCCTCCAGTCTTCCCTGCTGGGATCCTGCTCAGGAATCCATGGGGGTACAAATTTAGCAATTAATTCTTCTCACTGCTGCTCAAGTTCTAATTCTAAAGGATTTGGTGTCTGCCTTACCCAGCTGGAGTCTGGTTCCAACTCTGTTCTTACTGCTTCTGCTGCTTTCAATGTCCCAGGAGTGCCATGAATGGAGTGACAGCATTTTCCACTTCCTCCGGGATTCCCTCTGTTGCATTTGGGTGCTGGAAGAATATGAAAGCCTGGGCCTGCAGGGCTTTACTATCAGGAATTACATCCCTGGATTTGTTCATTTCCTAATATTATCTCTTCCCAACAAAGCACTGGGCATACAAGGAACACAAAAATAGATGTGCTAACCACTATTTACTCCTCTGGAATGTCAGAGCTTGGAAAACAGGGCAGTTTTGGCTTTTCCTGATGGCACCCGTGAGGTGTATTTTATCTAAATGCCACTTCCTATGTCTTTCCCTGTATCCACCAAAAAGCCACCTGTTCATTCCCCAGCTACTTCCTCCCTCTTTTCCTTTAACCAACAGAATTTCAACAGGTATTAAAATTCCCTCTGGAAGAGCACCTTTTATTCCAAAGCTAGTCACAAACTAATCATGGTCTTTGACCTTCATTATTAGGATTCCAACAAGAGACAATGAAGAGAAAATTATCCTACTCTGGCCCCTGCTGGGTCCCTGGTGCAGGGATTCTTTCCCTGTTTCCCCCATGGTGTCCCTGCTGCCCCGCCCCCTTTTTGGGCTTTGTTCCACAGCTTTTGCTTCCCATCCTTGGATCCTCTCCCTCACTCCAGGAGCTCCCAGCAGTTCCACACCCTCTCTTCTCCCATCCTGATAATTTCTCCAAGAACCGAGCTGTGCATTTCCATTTCCTTCTTTTCTCCAACAAGTCCCACAAATCCAAACCTAGACCTGACACAAAGAACTCTCGGTGCCTACAAATCCAAATCCAGACCTGGCCATCTCTAAACCAGCAACTCCAAACACACAATCCTGAACAATCAGCATTCATTCAAATCTAACATTTAGGATACATTGAATACTTCAAAATTCTCGGGAAGCATCCTGTTGCCTTCAGCGCCCAGGGATTTTTGCTTTGGACTCACATGGATTTGGGGCTCAAGGGATTTCCCTGAAAAAACCTCTGTGGTGCATACTGGAATCCCCAGTCCCATTAATTTAGAGAGTGCTAGAAAGCTTAGGCTAACCTGGGCCACCAGAAATGGACTCTTAATAGTGATGAAGAGGCACTGCTGGACACCAGCCAACAGCAATGGGACACTTAAACGCTTGCCTGAAATTTTGCCGCGATTGGGAACACCAGCACCAGGGGGTGCATGCACCCTGACGTGCTGAGGCCTGAGCAGCACGGCTGACTTACGAGACAAATCCTGGGCACTGTATGACTGACACCATCAGTATTATTTAGCTAAAAATAGACGACAAAAATGGAAATGTAATGAAATTAAAGGGAGCTCACATAAGAAGGAAAGGAGGAAAGAAAAAAACACCTACTGAGCTCAAAAGCAGAAACACTGTATCAGTGTGCACCAGCAGCTGGATTTTTTATATTTAGATTTTTTCTTTGCATTAGATTTTATCCCCAACAATTGTCTAAGAAATAATATTATTTAATGTTTGCTTCTATTGGTACAGCATGAGAATTTGTTATTGCTCCGTGTGTGTGTGGCTTTGGCCACACTTGTAGAGACACAAAATAAGCATTTGGATTCCTCCAGATACATAATAGGCAACACGTGTCAGAAGCCCCCTGTGGACGAACAGCTGTTCTGCAGATCTGCAGTGGTGCAGAGTTAACCACCTTCACTGTGGGGAAAGCTGATGGACTGCTGAGTACAGGGCTGTGGTGATGGTTCTGCCTTCCACGTGTCTTTCCTTTGTGGACACAAACCAGTGGAAAAGCAAAGCCCTGAAGCAATCAGGACCCTCCTGAGAGGGCCACCCCTCTTCCAGGTGAAGTGCTGAACACACCCACCTTCCCCATGCCAGTGCTGTGGCAGGCAGAGGAGAGAGCTACCTCAGAAAAATGGAATCTTGGCCCTGCTCCACCAGGTTTCTCCGCTAGGCAATGTGCCTTCACATGAAAGATGAGTCCCCAAGGAATGGGCCTTGCAGGCCCTTAGAGTGGGAGCACCTCCCCCTGCTTTTATTCTAGTGGCAGCTTGGTCCCTTCCTGGGTAGAGACCAGTGCTCCCAGGGTAAGCACTCCTGGTGACATGGCCAGGACCCCCAGCCCTGCAGTTAAAAATTGACCACAGACTCACAGAGAAAACAATGGACAGGTAAGAAATGCTCCAGCAGGCGAGGCTGGCTTGAACTGCCACATCCTGGGCATTGCTTTGCCGCTTCCCATCACAGCTCTGCAGCCAAGAGGCCCCTGTGGTCTGTAGCAACCCACCTGGTATGTGTGGGACCACACAGCAGCAAGAGCAGGACATACTGGGGGACCCAGGTGCAGCTGCCACATAGAAGTGCTGTGAGGTCCAGAGACACTGAGCAGTACAGCTACCCCATGTCATACCCACGGTGGAAGGAGAGCAGGAACTGAGAGTGCAGGACTGGTCACACTTCGTTCCAAGACAAGTAATTCCCCATGATTTTTCCTTATAATTTTGAACTCCAGCAAAACCTTTGTGTTTCTCTGTGTTTAATATACAATTTTCCAGTGAGCTGGCTGCTCACAGTTTTTCTCTGTTTCACCACAAAATCGGTTATAAGTTGTTTTTGGATCAAATCCCAAGATCTCCCTTTCCTCATGGATTCGGAAGGAAAATGTTGAAACTGAGGTGCCTATAAAATACCTGTGGAAAAAAAAAAATCAAAAAGGGTTTGTGAGGGGAGGGCAAGTTTTTAAAATGCAAGTAATTAGATTTCAGTCCAATGAACTTCACTGTTCAGTGAAATGATATGATAATAAAATTATCATACATACACAGAAAATATAACCATTATACATCTACTATACACATCTCAATTATATAATTGATTATATAATGTCTTACACTGTTTGCAAACAACCTTGGGACAAAAATCATATTCAGTTTTGCGACAGTGCTGAATAACAAGCTTTGGCTGAATAAAAGTCAGGTTTGCTACCTTGCATGTGCGCAAATCCACTGGTCAATCACAGCTAAGCCTCCATCCTTATAGAGTTCCAGCTCCTCCAGAGAGGGTTCAAATCTCACCATCTCAGGCAGCAGTTTCTTGAGCACTTCAATCTCTTAAAGACGGAAAGATATGAATTCATCTCTACATTATGAACAGCAACTTGCTGCTGTCACACATTGTGTTTAAGGAAACCCTGGGTGAACAGTTACAGAGCAAGCGACACCAAAATCTACCAACAAGTTTTACAATTCAGTGCCAAAATTCACAGCATTGCAGGGAGGGAGGGGAGCCAGCGGTAATTGCTGCACTCCTCAGAAATTTCCAATCCTGAAGTGACTGTGATCTGCCTACCTTCCTCAACAGCATCAGTGGCTACAAAAACTTTTTTAAGTTTAAGTGTCTCCAAGAGGCTGTGGATTTTCTTTACTGCTCCTTGCAGGGAAGGCACGTCTTCTCTGTGACCCCAAATGAAGTCTCTCCTTCTGAGATGAACCCCAAGGTAGGGGCCACCTAGAGCTGTGCCCGTCTTAACCTATGAGAGAAAGATCAAAACTTTAGAACTTGAGAGCATCACTACTCACACTGAAAAGCCAGAATGCATGATCTCTGAATAAGGCACAGAATCTCTCTAGTTGCAGACAGAAATTTTTAAGTATGGACTGGAAGTAGCTTGGGACATTTGTTGCAACATTGACATCTTGGGTGGCCACCATCATGCAAGAGAAAATGGAGTGCCAAATCTTTGTAAGCAAAACCTCCTCTCCTTGACCAAATAAATCCTCAACTGGCAGCTGGCAGCTGAACTTTACACCCACACATAATGCTGAAAACAGGAAGAAATTCAAGTTTCCTTTACTGAAATGAGAGCAACAAAGATCTGGCCCTCAGAACCAATCAAGGACACCTCGACAGACTCTGTTAGCTTGTGTCACACAGAGAGAAGAAGGTGCATGAGGAACATGCGTGTCCACCTCGATGTGAGCAGAAGTGTTTCGCTCATGTGTACCTTCCACTGTGCCCTGCAGCACACAGCCAGGAATACACAAATAAAATATTTGTTATGGGAAACAGACTGTTAAGGATTTTACCTTCATCTGTGTCCAGTCCTCCTTGTACTGAGTCCTGTCTGCCTCATCAGTGGATTGAAGGTATTTCTTCCTGAACCTGTCTCCCACCACGCGGAGGTGTTTAGCAAACACCATGCTCCGACGGGTCTGTTGGAATAAGAGCAGACGCTGAGTCAGAAAAAGGAGAGCTAAAAATTAGTAGGTGGAGACAGTTTCATACACACAGCACATCAAGGATGCAGTTACTTCTCGTACATCTATGCAGTACTCTAAGCAATGATTTTATCCAAGCTTAAATAGTTTATTTCTAATTATCATCACATTTATAACCAGCATACTCACCTGCCCCTGCAATACACAAGTATAGGGAGGACACTGCAGTTATTTACACAACAGAACACATGATACACCAAATTAAACACCCTAGCAATATACCTCACTTCTGGAAACAAAAGCTGGGCAAACACTTTAGTGTGCTAAACACCTTTAAGAATAAAACCTGCTTTAAAAATATTATGCATCTAGTCACAGACACGCCTATGAAATTCAGTGGGAAAATGACAAAAAAGGAATTATTTCCTTAACTTGTGAGTAGTCATCTCTAAGATTCTGTGATGCAGTTACCACTGCACATAGGCACAAGCAGCCTTTTTATTAACAGGCAAAAGAATTAAGGAAATCCCAAGTTTTCCCTTTTTGTCTGCAAAGAAACAAAGAAGGGAGAGATGCCTCTCAGAGGAACATGGAAAAAAGAGAAGAGGCCCTGGGCCCATGCTGCAGTGAGTAAATTTTTGTTTGGACATCAGGCAAAACCACTGGGACAACGTTTAAAGTGCTACTGCTAAGAAATATGAGCTATGGGAGCCATGTGGATTTCATGCCTGCTTTTACAGGACGAGTCATACTCAAATATGGTACCTGGGTTGCATTTTCTTCTTTGAGGGGCCGTTCTCAATGAATAATGCAAGGCTAGCAAACTAGTGCTTGGTCCACTTCTGAAAACATGCCATATCTCAAGTGAATAGCCAGATGTTTACAAGACTGAGGTCCATGTAATTTGTTTTGTAGTATCATGACAGTCAGTTTTTCTTAGGAATTTCAACTATATCAAGCACTCCACAGCATGTTCCATTTTGCTGTGTCTGAACCGTAACATTTTCTTCAAACTTTTATGACAGGAATTATTTTACCATAGACCTCTGCCTTGAAACCCATGGGAATTTTGCCTTTGAAGCCAATGGGGATGGATTTGGGACAATAATGAGCACTTTACGTAATTCTTTTGAAAATACTAATCTTGAGGTTGACTAGATAAGAAACTGCTCCCTTCTGATTTTAGATGTGTTATATGGGGAGATCCTTTCAATCACCATGATCTGCAGCACTGGGCCTTTAGGCACAAGACAGCAGGGCAAATTCCTGTGTCACATTAATCCACAGCAGCCTGAAAACCATGTTAGCACACATTGCTGAAACAGAAGACACAAGTGACTTTCAAGACAAAAAACCTGAGGCAAAACTGAAGCACACATTGGTTACTGAATTTTTAGCAGAGCCAAGGAAAAAGTCTAGAGAAGCTATCTGTAAAATACTCACATTCCAATAATCTTTCCCTCCGTAGTGGTCATGAAGAAGGTTTTCAGCTCTGTCTAACATCACTGACCTATTGAAAATTGTAAAACTGAGTGCAGTTCCCTTAGGAACAGAACTTACATTATGACTTTTCTTTACACATTTGCTAGGATAAAGTACAGACCATAGTCTGTTTGCTAAGGGAACATGGGGAACGAGGGACAGACTCCTGGAAATGAGGGAATGAGGCTCCTATGAGACAAATTCTAGTTCTCTACAAGGCAAATTGTGACTCACAGTCTGCTAGAGAGAGAAGGGAACCATACCAATCCCTGTGCCTGCTCTCTTCCATAAAAAATGATATCCTGACTCTGAGACTTAAACAATAACAAGCATTAACCACCCCTCACAGTCTTTGTAATAGTTGCTATAGGAGAAATTAGATTTCTAACAGGGAGAGTGATCCAAAGGGGAAAAGTGACCTGTGTGATAATGCTTAGCCTCAGAGCACATGACAGCCTCTGGGAACAAGCAGAAAATCATGAAAACAAACCCAGGGAAGGTGTTTTCCACATGTAAAATAAAATGTCCTACAGTAAAACAACAGATCAAAGAACACAGAGACATTACCAAAATGTGTGGTAGTAGACAGCAGCTTGCCTTCTCACAAATAAACACAGTTCAGGATTGTGTACTAGAAACATAAAAACTTAGCACCATCAAAGTTCTAAGAAGCAGAAGAGATTTTGAGAGCTTCAAGTATTCCAGAGCATAAGAGATGCAGATTTAGTTTGTGAGCACACTGATAAGAAAACACACCGAGAAATGCTTCTGCTAAAAGGAATCAAGGTCATTATCTGCATCTCCTTCTACTAAAAAGAGAGGAAGCAAATAACCAATCAGCTTTGGATTATCTCTGTTGATCATCAGCTGGACACCTGCATGGAATGCCCTAAACCACCTGGAAACAGACTAGACTGTGCTGGTGAAGAAGCAGCTCTACATCTAACAGGATGATTGGAGGTGATTGAGGTTACTAATCAAAATGCATTGAGAAGTTTCCTTGAAGTGACCATACTTGAGGGCTAAAAATCCAGTGCTAGGGCCACACAACTGGTTGTCCAGCCAGAAGGGCAATATGGGAGATGAGAGCTCTGAACAATCATAGTAGTTTGAAGACACTGGCACACATGAAGATAAGGGACATCTCATTGACACTGCCTAACAAGATTTCCGGACAGCTTTCATTAAAGGCGTTTAAGAAAACTTGGCACAGAAAGGTTCTTGCATGGATTTAAAAAAAAAAAAGTTTAGAGACAGGGATAAATGCATAGTTCTCATTGCTGAGCGGGGTCACAAGTGCAAGGTCTCTTCACCATATTCCTAAACAACCTACAGAAGGGTGTGAAATTAGGTGACACAGCTTAATTATTTTAAAATTCTCAGAGCAGCTAAGGCCAGCTATGAAGAATTAGAGAAGTCTGATCACTGGACAACTAAGTGGCAGATGAATTCTAGCATAGGAGCAAGCATACTAAAAAAAAACCAAAAACATCAAAACCTGGCTTAGTCTAATAACTGAAGGTCTTGATGGCCAGGAATGAGGACAGTTTGATGCAAATATCAAGGCAACACTCAGAGGTCAAAACAAGGAACCTGTGTCTCAAGAATTAGCAGAAAAAGAGAAGAGCACTGGAAAGAACATGTAATTTGTACTGCAATGTAACAGGTTTACCCACACTCAGTGTGCAGGATCCTGCTGAACTTTTCGATAAGGTTCGAAGATTGGCAGTGGTGACAATCAAAGGCATGGAATGGCTTTCACATGGAGAACAACTAATAGAGCCAGAACTCTTCCCACTGCACAGGAGACTGCCAGAGATGTAAAATTACATGTGCTGTGGAGTAGCATATGGAACAGCTGACGGTTCAGCATCTCTTCCACTGCATGATGTAGGGATATTGATGATACTGTGGAGGTATGTGTCACAGAAGCTGCCTGACAGGGAATATAAAGGAGCTCAAGGCTATTTGATCTTAGGTTTTAGCACTGCAATCTTTAACAAAAGTTACAGTTAAGTGTTTCTTGCACTGTAAATCTCTCTTGTAATTATTTTAACAGAGTACAATAATTCAGTGATGAAGTATCTCAACAGTGGACAACCCTTTAAATTCTCCCTGCTCTTCCCACCTAGCAATGGGGTAGGACAATAACACAACAATAAATTGTTATACAAGGTAACTCACTGTGCTGAAGTATTCTTCAGAAGGATGGGAGCCACAATAGAGGCTGATCCTTGGACAGACAAGCAAGAGGCGTTTAGGCCTCGTGTTTCCTCGTAACCCCAGAACCAGCCTCTAAAAGGGAACACAAAGGATTGGTTCACAGGCTTGTATTTTAAATTAATGTCATCTAAAGAACAAAACATCCTAAAAAACTACATATGATACAAATAAACCAGCCAGCTCCTTTATGCTGCTTTTCTGTGTAGCAACTTCACAGAATCAGATCTTCTCATATCAATACAACGTTTTACTGTATATAGGCTTCTTAAAAACAAAGTGAACTCCAAGAACCCAGATATCTACAGCAGGCAAGTATCTCTCTGAATACAACTGAAAACACCAGAAGGAACGCTCGATGTTACCTGTAGTAACCATGTTTGTCTTTGGAGTACACCAGCTGATCAATGCATGGTTTTTCATCTATTTTTTCTTCCCATGTTCCTTCTTTCCATCCTTCTGCATAGCCTTGTAGCACATAAACCTGTTCAATAAAGGGCCCACCTGACTCTGAACAGAAGGCAAAGCAAAGGATTTATAAGCATTAAAACCCATACTGTAAAGGTATGAACAAGCATCAGTTGCAGTTAAAAATATGCTAGAAATGCTAATATTACACTACTCTCTCTTCCCCATTTTCCCTATAAAGAAGGAAAGGAAGTTCTTTGAGAGTGAGAAAGGGTAAAAGGGTCAAGCAATGTGATCACCTACTATCCCACCCAGCTCTGTGGGTGATTTAATGTGCTAAATGCAGCAGAATCACTGTCACCTGGGTAAAACATACTATAAAGCACACAGGTTTTCAGTGCTGTAAGCAGCTGCCACAGGAAGAGTGCCTCCAAGAAAAATGCCAAGTACAAGCCCTTCTTCTCCTAAAGTTCAGGGTCGCAACAAGTATTTTCTTGGAACAGCTTTCTCTTCAGAGCTCTTTGCAGAGGTGTTACATTTGGTGGCCTTTATTTCCTCTGCTGAACATGCCAGTGTGCAGTGCTCACAAACTGAACATTTGGTGATTAGCTCAATGTGGCATTAAATCCTAAAGGAACCAACTTCACTTTCTTATGGAAAGCCTTTCTCTTAGACACAAAAAGCTGGGGATATTTCAAGTATGTGCAGTATCAACGATGAAAAAGAAGTTCAGGGAAGAACCTGCTTCACAACTTTTACTGTCCAACCAACATATCCAGGAAAAAGGTGGCTTGTCTGTATTTCAACAAGCTGCCTCCCTCCTTATGGTCAAAACCACACAGAAATATCACAGGTGAATTTAACCACACGCATTAATTGTCTGTCTTTGGGGGTCCCAGAAATCAAGGGGGCAGCAGTGCTACATCAAACAAGCTGCCAAGTAATTGGGTTGTTCCATCCTAATGGTTGTGTAGCTCAGCAAAACTCCTTCCCATTGCTCCTCTTGCCACCTCTATGATTATTTTACATAAAAGGATAAAGGCACATATAAGGAAAACCTCTTAAGAAACCATATCAAATATTTAATTAATTGTAGACTGCATGATTCTATATCCTACCTGCAAGGAACTGCTCATATTCGATGACAGGGATGTTCCTGTTGAGGCTTGGGATATCAAAGAACTCGGACCAAGCGAGCCTGACCTGGAGGATATCAGGGCTCTGCCAGTGATAAAGACGTCCCCAGGGAGGCAGAACCAACACCCAATTTTCACTTTTCCGCAGGGTCTTTAGAAGGGAAGCAATACGAATGTAGACATCTCTGCGAAGGTTGAACCCTTCAGGGGGGTTTACATCATACAACAGGTATCTGGGGAGAACAAAGGGATACCATTTTTCTGGGCACACACTGAGGCTATTACACGTTTTTCTTTTTTACCCTACAATCCTGTGATGAAACTGTTGGGAAGAAAGCTGTTCCTCTTTTTGAGTTTGTGGTACTCAGAAGGGGAAGAAGTATGGGAAGTCAGGGCAGTGTGTGCTGCAGGGGCCACTAGGCATCCTGGCGAGGTGGCACATACCAGGAGCCTTTCTTGCAGCGGGTCAAGGAGTGAAGAGTCTTGCTCACCCTGAGGGTGACGTGGGGTACATGGTGAAACCACGGACATGTAACCCAGGCTAACTCTTGTAAGCTGGATACAAAGGCGGGAGGATGCGCTCCAGAGAAGTAGGGGAAAAGAATGCATCTGGGAACTGGATGATCCCCATGAGGTCTGTTACAACTCAAGATATTCTACAGACAAAAGCCCTCGGACAGCTGCAATAACACCTTCCAAAAACGACTCAAAAATGCACCAGTAGTCGAAGCAGGCCCTTTACCAGCTGATGGCCAAGACCGCACGACGGGGGAGATCTGGGGGGCAGGACCGGCCAGGGGTCGGACGCCGCCGCCGCTCACCTGGTACGCGCAGCGGCAGCGGCGGCGGGCAGCGAGGAGGCGGCGTGGCCAGCGCGGAGGGCGACGGCGGGCGGCTCGGAGGCGGCGGCTCGGGACGGCGGCAGGGCGAGCGCGGCCAGGCCGAGCAGCAGCAGCAGCGCCGGGGCACAGCGGCCGCCGGGCCCCTGCGCCACCATCCCCACGCCACGTCCGGGGCGGCGCCGGCGGAGCCCCAGCCCCTCTCAGCCTCTCAGAAGAGGCCGGCGGTGAGGGGCCGCAGGCGGGAGCCTGTCAGGCGGTTCAGCTCCTCCAGGATTTGCACTTCCTTCTGGTACATCTGCGGGAGCAGCGGCGGTCAGCACCAGCGGAATCCCGGTTCCCAGCACCGGGGCCTCCGGTCCACCCCATGCCGCACCCCGCACACCCTCCCCGGCCCCGCACCTGCTCCCACTCGGGTTTCGTGTCGTGCCGGTAGCCGAGCAGGTGGCACAATCCGTGGGCGGCCGTCACCTGCGCGGGGAGCAGGAGCACAACACGCGTTACTGACCGAGCCCCGTGGCCGCCCCACCGCCCGCCAGGCCCGGGCGGGGCCCCCTCACCGTCAGGACAGCGTCAAAATCCTCCCCGGTTTCGCGGCACTGCTGGTGGATGTATTCCACCCCCAGGAAGATGTCCCCCAGGTTGTACTCGCCGCGGCAGCACGGCCGCGGCAGCTCCCCCGCCTCCACTTGGTGGAACGGGAAAGAGAGGACGTCGGTGGGCTCCGGGCAGTGTCGGTAGACGCCGTTCAGTCGCTGCATCAACGCGTTGCTGGCACAGACTAGCCCTACGTCGAAGCGGGAGGCGCCCAGGGCGGCGCGCAAGGCGCACACGGCGCGGCGAAGCGGGGCCCGGCGCACGGGCACGGCGCGCTGCGCGTTCCGCAGCGCCACGCTCATGGCGGCGGCGCCCCCTACACAGCGGCTCCGTCCCGCAGCCCCGCCCGCGGCCACGCCCTATCAGAAACCCTACCCACCCTTCTGCCCAGCCGTTAATATGCCCGCCCAACGGAAGCCCCGCCCACCTAGACCACGCCCACAGCAGCGCCACAACGCTGCTCCCACCCGTCTCCCCGCCCCCACTGTTCTACTGCCGCCGTAGCCCCGCCTACTTTTCCACTGCACTCCGCCCTCCCCCCATGGCTAGGGCCTCTCCGCACGGCGCATGCGCGTCCCGCTCCGTTCGGCGGTCCGAGGCTGCCTCCGCAGCGATGTCGGCGCGGGGCCCGTTCCGCAGCCCGCCCTCCTTCCCGCCGCCGCTGCGCTTCGGGCAGCCCGCCGTGTTCGGCCAGGGCGGCGGCCCCGCCGGCCTCCCCTTTGCGCCCGCCGCCACCTTCGCGCCGCCCTACGCGCTGGGCCAGGCTCCGGCCCCGGCGGGGAACGCAGGATTCAGCTTCAGGCCGCCCACCAGCCTGGGCGGCTTCCCGGCCTCCAGCGAAGCGTCGGGCGGTGGCGACGGCGGTGGCGGTGTATTTTCCGCTCCCGAGTTCCGCTTCAAGGCGCCCGAGAGCGCCGCTGCCTTCAAGCCGCTGTCAGGCGGTGAGGCGGAGAAGGGCCCGGCTGCCCCCGCCGCCTTTGCTTTCTCGTCGTCCTTCGCCTTCGCATCTGAGACGGGCCCCGAGGCGGCGGTGGCGCGGGAACCTTTCTCGTTCTCACGTCCCGCCGCCGCTTTGGGGCGGCCGGAAGAGAGAGGTCTGAGGGTGCTGCCGGAGGATCCGGGGGAGCCGCCGTCCAAGGGGCTGAAGCGGAAGGAGGAGCGGGAGCGCTCGCCGCGGCGGGCGGCGGCGGGCGGGCGGGCTGCGGCGCCGCCGGAGAAGCGGGCGGTGATGCTGAGCCGGCCCCGCGGCGGGATCCTGTTCGGCCGCACGCTGGAGGATCTGCTGCGCAGCCAGGCTCGCGAGCAGCGGGAGCGCGGGGACGTCCCCGAGGCCGAGCGGGGACCCGCCGAGGAGCCGCCGCCGGTCGAGGCCCGGGAGCCCGCCCGAGAAGGTGGGCGGGAGTCTGGCGGGGGGCAGCCCTGCCGCCCGGGTGTCTTCCCGCTTGCTGACTGCTGTGTTCCTTCTCGTCACAGATGCGGCCCCCACCGCCCCTGCTCGCCGGAGCCGCGGCAGCGAGAGCACGGAGGGGCCGGGCGGCCTGCCAGCCGTCGAGCTGACGGCTGTCCAGTGCAAGAACATCCCTGACTACCTCAACGACAGGACTGTGCTGGAAAAACACTTTGGCCAGTTCGCAAAAGTTCGCCGGATCATGACCAGGCGCAATAAAAAAATGGCTGTTCTCCACTTTTTTGATCACGTGAGTATCAGAAGTGGCATAACTCTTGGAAGTTTTTAGCCTAGAGAGGTCTCCAGGGATATCTTAGAGCCCCTTCTACTGTCTAAAGGGGGCTTACAATAGAGGGAAAGCAACTCTTTAGAGGGACAGACTGGAAGAGGACGAGGAGAAACAGTATAAACTAAAAGAGGAATTAGATGTCAGGAAGAAATTGTTTGAAGGTGAATAGGCCCTGGCACAAGTTGCTCTGAGAAGGTGTGGCTGCCCCATCCCTGGAAATGTCCGAGGTCAGGTTGGATGGGGCTTGGAGCAGCCTGGTCTGGTGGAAGGTGTCTCTGCTCAAGGCAGGGGGCGTGTAGCTGAATGGTCCCTTCCAACCCAAACCAGTCTCTGATTCTGTGAAGAAAGACTTAAATCTGGGTGCTTGGGGTGGGTCCAGCAGTAATGCAAACTACACTCTTGTTTGTAGAAAAGCAACAGTTCTTTGTGGAGACCAATTTAGCTGATTGCATGTAGGTCTTAAGTTATACATACAATACAGCAACCAGAATTTTTTGGGGATCAGTAAATGTTTCTCTGGCAAAAACTGCACTGTGTGTTTCGGTGTTGTGATGCCAATAGGTTTCCATGCTCTTCTTTTGTTTCCTTTCAGGCCTCTGCAGTTCTGGCCAGAAAAAAAGCGAAAGACTTGCACAAAGATATAGTAACTTTTTGGCAAAAGAAGAAAACAAGTAAGTCTGTGTTTCCAGACTACTGAATGATTTATAAATAGCGTGCCAGCTGCTCTTTTTTTCCCTGATGTGCTGAGGATGATACCTAAATTATCTCTTAGTAGGTGATATCATGGTTGAATCCTTAATGTAATATACAATAGCAATATGGGGACGTTCATCTTTGTGCTTGTGTCCAGAAGCAGGATGTTCTTTGGGGATATAAGAAAACCCAGTCTGAAATGCCTTGCTGCCTGCCTCAGATCATGGACTGGGGTGTGAACTTCAGCTTTCAGGAAAAGGTTCTGAGAACCAACCTAAGGAAAGTGTCCTGAGAATCTCTGCAGTGTCTGCTGAGGTTGCTGTTCCTGTGCATCAAGAGTTAGACACTGTTTGAAACAAAAAAAGAGAGCAACCTACAGAGTTTAGAAGTGGGAAACCTGGATTCCAGACCCTGCTTGGTATTAGGGCAAGAGGAGATTGTTCAGTCCCCAGGGGAATACTTATAATGCCAAGTGCTTCCCTTTCTTTAGCTCCACGAGTGCAGTGTTTGTGCCTGTGAGATCCTAGCCTGTGGGTGCTCTTCAGCTGCCAGCGCATGGATGGTTCACCTCAGCTTTGGCCAACCACAGCCTTGCCTTCCAGAAAATAAATAGCTGCTGAGTTGTCTCCCTGAGAATTAATATCTTGAAGCAGCAGCTCTAGGGCTGCCTCTTTGCCAGTGTAATTTTATCATGCTGTTATGTCTGTGGCAGCATTCCAAAATAACTGTTCTTGGAGGGCTCGAGAAATCTATCTGGTGGAAACATTGTCTCTGGAAGAAGAAATTCTCCTTTCCTGCAAGTGTTAATTCATGCCAACCTGAGTCTAAGCTTTGATATGTGAAATAAATACTTTCAGTAGGAGCACTTGGAATTGTGATTTACTCAGGTGAAATGGATTTTGTATCCCATAGGGAGTTATGACTTGTGGATTATATCGCAAACCTGAGAGAACTGTGATTCAGTTGAGGATTAGACTTCATTTACTGCTAATTACAGTTACTGCTAAGTGATATTGTCTTGAAAAATACTTATTCTTTATAGAACAATGATCTTGATAGCAATTGGTGGAAACTCGGTACAGCTCCTAGTGTAAGTTGTTGTGGAATTTTTGCATGCATGTACAAAACTGGGAGTCCTAGTTGTCATCACCACCTGCATTGGGTCAAGAAAGAGCTGTTGCTTAAACTACTTGGCAGGTACCTGGTTTCATATTTATGTGTCATTTCAGGTCCAGCAAAAAGAGAATTTTCATCCAAGGAGAAGAAAGCAGGTGAAGATGAAGGAAGGCAAAGCAGTGAAGAGCAAAGCTATCAGCATTCCCCTCTCAGAAAACCTTTAATAAGATCTTCTGCTAGCAGCGTCATGCCTGGGAGAAGGTATGTCCTTTCCTCTGGGAATCTGTCTGGCAGAAAATGGGGAGCTTGGAGAAAAATGGTGATCACTGTGTGCCAAATGTAGTGACATTCTCTTCAGGGAGGCTGCTTCCCTTCTTTTCTGATTTGTCTGAATTAGAAGTACTCAGCTCTCACACTTTGTCAGAAGGATATTCCTAACGGCTTATTAGGGTTTTTTATTTGGTGAAAGTAAAATATTTTGTTCATAAAAGCACCCGTAGTATGAGGCATGAGGGAAGCAAAAAACAGGGCTGAGCCCAGCTAGGACTGAGTAGTAATGACACTGTTTGTGGTCGTGATTCAATGAGCTTCTCAAGCAAGCAGTTTCCTTTGGAGGCAATTAGAGCTCTGTGGAAAGAAGGTCTCGTTTTTGGAGTAGTTTGGATCATTGTCTCACTACAAGTGGACGGTCTTTCTGGTTCATGGCAGTCACAGAAGTGGCAAGATTGTCATCTTCATTACAGCTCAATGGTTTGTCTAGTCTGACAAAAGTAATTTGATATGTGTAATCATATAACTATAAAATTAGTAATGTGTTATGAAGGAATCAGTATTCTTTGCTTTAAAAAGCATGTTTGTACTTGACCCTGTAAAATCTTTAAATAATCTCTGTTGCTGTAGAAAGCACATTGGGTTTGTCTCCAGCAAGCCAGTTCCTAACTTAAAATACAAACTGCTGTGCCGTAGTGTTGCAAAATGCTACAGGACCCATCCATTTCTGTCTTCTCTGTGACACTTTTAGTAAGTGCTTTTCTGTTAGGACTTT